GAAATTCTCTTATAATTATATTGTTCAAGATGGAAAGACTAGTAAAATGGTTCCGTGAAGTTTTACACTCTGAATATTACTAATACTCCTAAACGGTTTAAATATATTGAAAAACGTGCAGATTTGGAACGTTTTACGGAATCTGAGCTGAATAAGATAATTTCTAGAAGACGTGCGAAACAGCAATCCAAGAATCAAAAACATTGTTATAAGAATCTGATTTTGGTTGAAAAAAAAAGAGTTGACAAATCAGGCTTACCAGGCCGATTTAAAAAGTCTTTGAGTTGGTATTTATTTATCAGCATGCCATTCTTCCTAAAATCTTATGGCCATTGTCTATTTACGAATTTACAACATCTCATATAGAACAATTAGAGAAAAAAAGAATTAGCACACGACTACGAAGATGGTTAGGCCTACTGAAGTCATCTTTTGACCAGTGCTGCGTTTTCTATAAACGGCAATAAAACAAATGCTCTGCAACTTCCTTTCAGCCTAAATACACATTAATGTTTATATATATATATAAAAGTCTAGTAGAGTAATACATAAAAAAATTAGCTCAACAAAGACAAATAAAAAGTGGCTGGAGCAGGCACTTCCAAAGAAAATGAAAAAGTCTACATTTTCAGGAAGAAAATGGAGAGCAGAGAACGTTAGCAGATATTGACACATTTGCGTGTCGCTAAATAAAGGCTCCTAATTTTCTTTGTAAAAGAAAAGGAAAAAGGCTGTTATTTTGTTTTATTAGGCGCCGTAGCTTTTATAAATTTGACGAACTGGCCAAATAATTTAATTTGATGTTTTTAGGGTTCTTTCCTACCATTATGGAGGGTGGACAGAGCCAAAAGGTAAAGAAAAGAAAACTTTCAATACATAAAAAAAAAGAAGTACGTAAGGGCGAGGAGGAGTAAAAAAAGGGTGGCAAAGATGATAGGACTAAGGCAACAAGGTGTGTGGACCAATAAGGGAATCCACATGGATTTATAGGAAAATCAAATGGTCGGATAAATGGAGTAATGATATCAAAATAAAGTTCCTGATTCAGTCTGTATACGACACCGTTCCTAGTGCTACCAACCTCCATCGATGGTATGAAACAGAATCGCCACTATGCCATTTATGTTAGAAAAAAGGATTAGCACACGACTACGAAGATGGTTAGGCCTACCGAAAGTTTGACCAGTGTCCAGGAAGTCTCAAAAGTCATATTCTAAGTAAGCTGTACAAAAAAGACCCAAAAGACAGCACTAACGGAAGGCCGGTAAATAGATGGAGGCATGATGAAATCCTAAAAAGATATAAAAAAGATAGTTAGTATGGCCATCAGCATCTAGGAAAATCAAACTTTAAACATAGATAAAAGAGCCATAGAGTTTCATAGAGCTGGTGAGAACCCCACGTCCCCAAAAAAAAGGATAGAAGAATGAAATCCTAAAAGATATAGCAAAAGATAGTTAGCAAATACATAGAGTTTCTGTCATTGGCAACGGACTGGGAATTAAGGGTCGACTTAGGAAAAATACTAAAATTCCCTGACCACATCGTGCAAACATCTTTACGCACAGATTTAATATTCTTCTCTAATAGCATTAAGAAAGTAATAATGTGGGAAGTGACAGTGCCTTGGGAAGAACATGCAGAAGAAGCCCACGAACGGAAGATGTTAAAATATGAGGAACTAATAGCGAGCTGCAAAAACAACGGGTGGAAATAAAGCTGTTGCCAATCAAGGTGGGTGTAATGGGTTTTGCTGCAAGGTCCCTATGCAAAGCTCTAACTGATATTGGCGTAGCAGGTGCTAACAAAAGAAAGGCGATTCGGACCATAACTAATACAGCATAAAGGACAGCAAAATGGTTATGGATTAAGCGTGATAGCTCATGGACATCAATGTAGCAAATAATTATCATGCCGGGTAAATTTGTAAATATTTTTAATATAATTGCAACATGGTAATATTAAACATTTTTATTATTATTTTTTTTGTGTGTGTGTATGTGTGTGGGTAAATACACGAATTGAATTGTACTAGTACAGCCAAAGAATATATCTCGTCAATTTGTAAATTGTATCATTTGTAAATATGTTGTTTTTATGTTAAACCCGTGTTATACGCGGTACCTTTTAAGTTACTATTTACCTTTTTAGCAGTTTCGGCGCGACACATCTCGTAAGACTTTTCGTCCATTATTCTCATACGTTTTTTTTTATTCGAACATAAGACCTTTTGTCTATTTTTCCTTTTTTTTATTCGAACGTAAGACCTTTTGTCTATTTTTTTAATTTTTTTTAAAATTTTACATTTATACGAACATTTCGCATTTTGTATATTTTAAATTGGTATCATAACGCGTATATAGTGTATTTATAGTGTTTTTTTTCTCTTGATCATTGCCATATATCGTTTGTATATTATTTTTATTTTATTAGTTCATCATCGGTTTTAAGCGATACATATATATATAAATATAATATGAAGCTTCGTTAATACTTGATA